ATGTAGCCCAGTTCCGCTACAAAAAATAGTTCAACAAAATGATGAACAGTGATTAAATGGGTAGAACCAATTATGGACACGAAAGCATACTCAAATCCCATTAAATGAGACAACCCTGACATCCTAAATAGAAAATTGATAGCAGAAACTGCTAGTAATGTTAAGTAGGGGAGGGACCTGGGATACGGGAACATGTCAAGTACATAGTATTTAGGTTTGGAGGTATCGATATCATCATCTGGGGTTCGAAAAGTTTTGTTCTCCTCCCAAAAACGCTGCCACTTAGGCTCAATCTCATGGAAAGGGTAAGGCTTATTCACCACTGGCTGTTTCGGCTTCTGATACTCCACTTCACTGGCTCCCCCAGTCACCGAGTTCCTAACACAAGTACCATAACTAAAGCTCCTATCGCACAATCTAAGCCCAAAGTGACTACTTTTAGTCGTTGAAACGGTGAAATTTCGAGAACGAAGCCGCTTTGTAGGAAAAGGAAATGCAAGTGAGTGAAGCGGAAGGGGCTGAAATTGAAGCAACTGAAGCTGTGCATGAGTATGCATGAGCTGGGCGTGCATTTCGCATGAGATGCAGAGAAGAGCGAGACAACCAGTGGCCGAGAACACAAGATAACAGGAAGATGATGGCGCTAACAAGTAACGTCCGAAGTTTTTTCGGGGGAAAAAAATGGATTGGGCTGAATAACGAGAGATTGAGCCGGCTGGTGTTTAAACAGATCAGGTTGGTTTGGATTAGCGCTGAAAAAACTAATTTATTTTTAATTTGATTTTTTGAAAAGTAATATTGAATAAAAGTTAGATTGGATGGTATTATTTGTATTTAGAGCCTGTGTGGTTAAGCGGTGGGATCTTAAATAAGCCCGTTTAAATTCAAATAAGTACTTATGAAACATGGTTAGGGTGTTTGGATAATTTTTATAGAATCCCGATGAATCGTGATTTTAACCTCCTACCGCACTTTTAGGATAAGGAACAAAAGATAGCTTATGCGTTTGAAAAATCCCGATGAATATTCAGTAACTAAATTTTCTCTAATCTACCCCTCATTCTAATGGTAATTATTTTAATTTTTTTAAAAAAAAACATACAATATGAAACTGTTTTTCTTTTAATTTTATCTAAACAAAAATAAGATTACGGATGACATATGATTGAAACAACACAATCAAATATTTAGGTAATATTCTGATTCTAGGAGCATTGTTAAATTAAGAAAATAATGATGACAAATAATTTTTCAGCTTATTTTTATATTTATTATTGTTATTTTATCTAAAATGATATCTCTCCATTTACTCTTCCACAAATCTCTCTTCAAATATTATCTCCACATATTTTGCCTACAATTTTTCAACCTAAACGGCTAAACCACTTCAAATAATAATAATTTTAAAATAAAAATAATATTTAAATATTCATGTCATTTATTAAATTATATTTAATAAAATTTATTATTAAATATAATAATTATGAAAATGTAAACAACTTTATTAACTTCATGTCCTTTTAGTAATTATACACCCATAAGTGATTTTAATGAATAAAAACCAAACATAATCACAATTCTTAAAATCACTTATAAAAAAAAATATCCAAACAGAAATCACGATTAACTAGTATCACTTATAGCCAGTATCACTTATAAAATTCACGATTATCTAAAATCACAGTTGTTCACCGCTAATCCAAACGGGCACTTAGATTGATTTTTATAAAAGTTAGTTTGTAAAGTGAAAAAGTTATTTGAATTATGATTAAATAAGTAAGTTTAATAACCAAAATGGGTATAATTTTTATTAAAGGGTTAATATAATTTTTGATCCTTCAAATTTACTCTCATTCTAATTTTAGTTCCTCAAGTTTTAAACTATAAGTTTTGGTCCTTTAAAAAGCAAAAGGGTCTAAGTTTTTATTGGATTATACGAACTAATGTTTTAAATGAAAAGAAACTTAATAAACTAAAACATATGGTTTGAAAATTTAGAGACTAGAATCAAAAGAAAGATAAACTTAAAGGATCAAAATTTATATTAACCCTTCATTTAATAATGAGAAATGATTAAAAATATGAATTTAAAAAATATAATAATTTAAAATTATTATGATATGAAAAAGTTATATTTACTTAATAAAATATATTTAAATTAGAAATCATATTAATGTGAAAATTTTTGAACTAAATAATATTACATAATTAATTGGATGATATACTCGGTATGATTTATGTAAATATAGAATAAAAACTAATATTAAAAATTAAAAATATTATAACAACTGTTAAAAATTGTTTTAGAATATTAAAACAAATAACACATTGATTGGAAAGTATAAAGAATATATAGAGAGAAGTATAAGAACAACATAGACATAAAGGTAAAAATGTCTTTTAATTTCAAAAGTTACTTTTGCATAAATCATAAATAAGTTTTAGATACTTTTGCAATCATGCTTAAAAAGTAGCTTTTAACCTATAAATTAGATTAGTCAAAAGTTATAACAAATAGCTCTCAAATTTATAAACTAATTTATTATACTCATACGTTATTTTTTCCCCTCCAAAACGTTATGCCAAACAGACTGTCAATCAGCATGACGATATGTACATCAAATTATTGAGATTGGGTTCTCTGATATACTCTCTAATTTCTTTTATAATACTCAATATTTTAAATATTTTTCTAATTAGATTCTATATAAACACCCACACCCTTTTCAGCCCCATTTCTTTCTCCAACACTCCCGCTGAAGTTGGAAAAAAAAATAATTATAATTAATTCTATTACATTAGTTTTACAATAATTATCAAAAATTGGCCAAATGAATCATTGCTTCTCTCAACAAAACCCAATAAACAGTAGAATATTTCTTTTCATTTCATTCTACCCCATTCCCGCTTAACAGCTCGCCTCAGCAAAATGGGAAGGCATAATAATCCTATCATTAGTTTAGTTTTATTTAAAAAATTAATTTAAATTTTCAAAATTTATGAGTGTTTTGAAAAAGATGTATCCCAATAAAAGTGCCCAATATTAAGGCTAATTGGTTTTTTTTTTTTTGAGCTTGTAAGGTTAATTAGTTGAGATATACATGATCAAATAGTTAAAATCCTACAAGGATTCTCTGCTTAAAAAATTCTATAAGAAGATGGGGGTTGAGATAAAGGCATCCATGATATAGGTGGCTGATTTATTCTTTATGGCTTTTGGGTTTGGGCACACTATTGAGTAATGAGCATATAAGGAGAAGGCTAGCTGAAGGTAAATTAAGAAGGAAACAATCAAGACATGTCTTCTCTTATCAAAGAAGAAATCAAAAGAGATAGTCCAAAGTAGATGTTGAAGAATAGTCAAGTATGTGTCTGGTATTTAAAAAATAGTGGACATGAATATCAAGGTCTATGGTGTCTTCCTGAAAGAGATCTCAGTTTGAGGAGGACATTGACACCATGCAAGAAAAATTCAAAAGGGAAAATAAAGGGGAAGAAGAAATAGCGAAATGAAAATCTTCCCTAATAGTAATAAGAAGGAAAGCTTTGAAGTTTAAGAGTTGAATTATGATGCACAAATTAATTGGTGATGGTCCATGGAAAGCTTCAGGATTAACATGCCTTCGTGGTATACAAATGTAGAGGAAGCCATGATTGGAATCAAAGTTCAATTTGAAGGACATGAAGGTTCTGCACGAGGGAAGTCAATCTACTATCTCTCAGTTTGACATTTTGTTTGTATGAAATTGATTTGCAAGAACAAGATTGAGAAACCCAATTGGGGATTTTTAGCATATATTAACCTTTTGTTTTAGTTTTTCAACAATTTAGCAGACTGAAAGGTTCTCTTGAAATTTCAACATCCTTCTATTTGCTATTGGCTTTTAGTTTTATGTAATGTGTTTTAGGTATTACAAAATCTAGGTTCCATCCCAACATCATGATCAAGTACACCTTTGGTTAAGTTTCAAAATATTACAAGTGTTTGCACAATCTATATGGTACTTCCAACTTAAGTTTGGTTGTGCCCATTTTATTCAAATTCAATTTGGGCATATGCCTGTTATTTCCCTTTTGATACTAAATTAGTGGCCTAAGCTGCTTCAACAATTTTTTGATTAATTCTTCACTTTGCGGTGTTACAGTATAAGGATTCTTCAAAAGATGCACTACTTGATAGATCATCAATTTTATGTTTGTGACTTGACAGGGCTTTTATCTAGCTCCTGATCATAAGCCATTGTATTCTTTTACTTATTGGAGCTTTTAATTTGACTATTGTGTTATTGCGATTGTAATAATTGTGTCTATATTTGTATTTTTTATATTTAGTTTTGTGAACTCTCTTCCAATTCTTTTTATGAGAATTTGAAATTTGAATTGTCTTGGTTCTTTTTATAAAATCTCAATTGTAGTTATTTAAACATTTATTTGTTATATTTAGTTTGGTGAACTCTTCCAATTCTTTTTACGAGAATTTGAAATTTGAATTGTCTTGATTTTTTTTATAAAATCTCAATTGTAGTTATTTAACATTTAGTGTGTTTTTATCATTTCTTACATATTTATTATTTTTAACTAAATTTAATTTTTTTTAAACTGCATAATTTGGTTATCAAGCTCTTATTAAAAAAACCAGAGGAAGTTTGTTAGTTTTTAGTGTGCGCTACTGTCTCGTGTGTTATATTTTTATGATCTTGTTACATTGAGCTAATATTTTATACTTGCAAATATATTTGATCATCTTATTAAAAGAATGGTAATTTTTTTGAGTAAATTAAAAAAAATATCCTGAAAGACCATTTAAAGTCATTTAATTTAAATAAAAGGACAAATGATTTTTTTTTATAGAAAGAAATTTTATAATAAGTTGGAACTTATTATATTTGCACAATTGCACATTATTGCCTTTTATCTCACAATTCTTATCTCCATTTCATCTTTGAGGATTATGACTGAGTTAGACCATGTAAACTTACAACTATAATTTCATACCAAACTTTCGAACTTATGCTTCTGCTGTTATAATTTTCATGGGAAAAATTTATTCCGAAAGTTTAAAATAGATTGGTGCTATACGTACATTGATTTTGTCGGGTAAAAAAAAGTGAACTTGTCCACTTTTATCACTCTCCATTTTCTTGTGATCATGAGCTCTAGCTTTTGAGGGAGGAGCTAAATTTATTCATCATGAATGGAAAATTACAAGAAACTGTTTCCTAAAATATATACAGAGCTACCAATGAGGACTCGTTCCGTTAAGGGAACGATCAGTGATTACGCTCCGGAAACAATCCCGCTGTACAAGATGCTTTTGGCCTAAGGAAAATCCTTTTCTAAGTAGCAGAAGAAGCTCCAAAGCCAATCAAGCACACTTGAGCAAGGACTCAAAATCTTTGAGAATCTGGTCAGCAGCATACACTATCATCTTCTTTATCTGTTCCACCAAACAAAAGCATCATTATTATTATTATTTTTTTTGGGTTTAGATTGATTTAGTCTTGATAGCATATATAAGAATTCTTGGGCATATTTCAGAAAGCGGGGAGCCAGAAAAGAAACATGAAATAAAAATTGGAAGCACACATCACCTCAAGTTTATCTTCTCTGGCCCTGTGGTTCTTGGGAAGCTGCCGGAACTGATTAGTTAAACGCAGACACTCATGGAGGTTTTCTGGGGACACAAAATCCACAGCAACTTTTGTGCATGACTGCAGAAAAGTAAAGGTTTGGAACATTCACATGTGAGTTACGGTCCGATGAGTTGACAGATAAGAAGCATGGAAACTGGTAAGTGTAGCAAATCAGGCATTTATTTGAATTGTTCTGTATTAAGACGGTATAACTGAATATATACACAGAGAAAAAAGGAATCTGCTGGCTAATTAATTAAAATATATCCTCTCTTAATTCTCATAAAACACAATGGCAATATTCCCAAAAATCAAGAAGACTGTTTAATCCCAAGAAGTTAAGAGATCGTGACACCCTCCCTCAATTTGAATCACGGGATATCAATCATGTCCAACTTACTCAATTTGAATCATGGGATATCAATCATGTCCAGCTTACTAAGTCCTCCAACTGTTTGGTGAGACAAACCTTTTTGTGAGGATATCTCTTGTTTGTTCTTTGCGTCTTTAGTGGCAATATATGCCCTAAAGAACAACTTCTTCCACTTTTTCTTTAATCAAATGCCTATCAACCTTCACAAGCTTAATCCTATCATGTTTGGTATGCCATCAAGGAATTATTAAATGGAATTTATAGTTTATCTAGAAAAAATAAAATACATGTGAAATGGTCTTTTTAACTCTATTAAGGCTAAAAACAGAGGAATGAATGTCTAAATGTTGATTTATGGAGGGTAAAAATGTTCTGCGTTGATTCAGATAAGCTTGAATTCAATTACGTAGCCAAGGTCATGTAATGGGAACTACGTGATTTGTTGTAATATGCTGTAATCACCATTACTTTGGATTACTTTACAGTAGCAACCAAACACCTAAATCAACAGAATGCAGATAATCCTAATGCATGGAATTGAACAAAACAAGTCATAGTGACTACTTTACTATCACAATAGATCTTGATGGTGAAGTAATGGTGATATGAAGTTCTTCCAAAAGCTTATATAGCAAGGGTCCTACTAATATTCCTTAAGCCATATCTACATTTCTTCTAGCCACAATATTACTTCTTGCTTCTTCATGTTACTAGATTCCCCCATAGAAATACAATGTCTAATTGTAAATCTTACTATTTGATGGAGAAATTTCTCATAAAATACAAGCAGGGCAGTTAAAGTGAAAAAAGATTATTGAATTATTTGTGATAAGAAAGTACCTGATAAGCTTAAATGAAAGTTCTATCGAACCATTACAAGACCAACCATGTTATATGGTAGTGAATGTTACGCTCTAAAAGGAAAACGAGCATAAAATTGAGGTAACAGAAATGAAAATGTTGAGATGAATGTATGGTAATACAAAAAAAGATAATATTCGAAATGATGAGTAAGAGTAGGCATAGCGCCTATTGAAAAGAAAATGATTGAATATCATTGGGGTAGTTTGCACATATGCAAAAAAAGCCATTAGAAGTGCCAATGAAGAGTGTAGATCAGAAAGTTTGGAGTCCTTTAAAAAAAGACAGAAGACTATCAAGAAGAACACTCAGGTCATTTAACAAGACCTTTTAGTTAACAATCCCTTTAAAAATTTGGTTGTTAATAGAACACAATGACGTCACACGATCCAGTAGATGACCCCACCTAGTGGGATAAGGCTTCTTGTTACTATTGTTGCCATTTTATGAACCTTCTCAATAAGCATAAAGGCTTACACTTGAGCTTTGGAAAACAAGTTCTTCTATCGAGCTTGATTAGAGTACCACTAGGTTTGCATCTTAACATCACATGTTTATTTTCTCTGAGACACTGATCCCTTTTCTTGGTGTCGCAACCTCTATTCACAAGAAGTACCTTAATTAACCCGGGTCCTTTCAAATTCTGTGGCCATTAGTGTAAAGATTTCAATAAAAGTTATGCCATATTAAAAGATCTCTTGGTGTTCTTAGGAAGGTAACCAGTGTTTGATTGAAGAATCTGGTACCATTTTTTGAATTTAAGATTTGGATACTAGCATTGAGTAAAGTTTTAAACATTGTATGGAAATTCGTGAATGCACAAGGAACCTCATATTTATCTTTTAATAGACATAACCAATTATAACACTAGGTCATTACTAAATGAAACAAACCATTTTATGCAAGTTCTATTGGGTATTTATGAGAAACCCCCACATAAAAGCCAAAAAGATACCTCATATGTGGCTTTTGAGTAGTGTTTTTGTGACGCTTGGCCACCTTGCAACTTTAACATTGAAAATTAACCAAATTTTTATTACAGTTCAAGGAATAGGTTACTTAAAAACTTTAAATTAGGGTGATCTATATGTAGATATCATAACATTAGGTCATTCATTATCGAAGAATAAAGCAAATTTACAAATAACATTAGTCCTTAAACCATCAACTTCAAAATTTTTTGAAGATGATAAACCCCTTCACACTTGCCTAGCACTTTCAATTGTTATCCCCGATGACAGCTCTGGAAATATACAAGTGTTGGAGCAAAATTAGCAAAACAATTGGAACCTTTAGTTAGCTTCCAAGCAAGTTTCAAAAAAATGAATGGATTTGAAATTATAGAACCATAGATTTTAACATTTCCTTTACCAACTACAAGAGCTAAGGTTCCATTTGCATTTCAACTTCATGATTACCAACACTAGGAGTGTTAGTAAATAATTGGATAATTATCTGCCACGTGATCAGAAGCACTAGAATCAATAATCATGAATATCACCCTTTACCTTTTCTGGGTTGTGGGGCCTATTGCTCTTTCTCAAGCGTTGTTTGAGACTACCTATATTAAGTGCTTATAAGCATGTTCACATAAGTTGAGACAAGACTTTCCCCATATATTTACCTCGTATTCTATAAATTATAATTAAAAAACTGCTTTTGAAAGTTCCCATTGCTATTCCAAACAAGCACTTACTTTTCCGATTAAGTTCAAGCCTAATATTTCGAGTCAACAAACTCGACCCATCTAGAGCATTTTTCTCCACTTTTATCATCACCTTTCTTCACAGCCTCCTGCCACCTTACTTTTGCAAATGCTTCACAAATCATAAAAAAGGGAGTTGGGAGCCATAAACTTTGACAAGGTCCTTATTTAAGCCAAAAAATTCAAAGAACCCATCCTTCTTGTTTCGGAGTGATATGAGTCAGTTACATTAATTAGCACGTGTCATAATTCTATTACAACTTGTATAACTAATTAGTTGTTTGAAGGGATTGTTAGCCTTTAAATATCCCTTAATTGTACGTTGGATGGTGATTCTGGAATAATACACTTCTACGTGTTTCTCTCTCTTCCTCTACTCTCTCTTCCTCTACTGCATAACAATTTGGCATCAGAGCCAACCTTCCGGCTATGCCATCATGCCGGAAACAAGATCTGGTGAACGGATTGGTGACATTGTGCATTGCCTGCTCATGCGCGATTGGAACAGAATTCTTTGGATATAGGCGAACTGAAGACTTCAACTTCTCTACATGTTTCTCTCTCTTCCTCTGCTGCGTAACATGGAGCTTGAACAAGACGTTATCTTAGCGCATTGCCAATCTTCTTCCAAGTTGAAGGCAAGTTCTCGTCAAAGAGTCATCATCTCAAGGTGATACTTATTGCCATCTCAATTTTGAATATATATGCCGAGTTTTCACACTGAGGATATGCTTTATCACATACCAAATTACTTTCGCACTGCTCAAAAGCATAATGTGTCATTCATCAATGGAATCATGAACTCACCAGCCAAGGCATTAAAAGGCATCAAAACAGAGAGTTCTCTAATTGCCATCACCTAAGAAATGTCACGTCATTAGAAGTTGGTGTTCAAGCTTCTCAAATAAGGTACATGATCTTTCCTCTACCTTTGATGGCCAATAGGGGTTGGGGAAATGCCAGCCCGCCAAAATCTAAACTTATGCAGCCCGCACCGTTTTCAGCCCGGTCCGCAGCAGGCTAGTGCGCTTTTTTTTTTTTTTTTTTTACATTTTGGTCTTCCGCCTGCCAGCTCCCTTGGACCAATTCCCACTTCCCTTCATGGACTCATCACCCATGGTCCATAGTATAGTCCATACCAAGTTACCAACCCAACTTCGTCTTCACTCGCCGGCTCTCCCCTGTCTTTAAACTTCAGTGTCTTGAATCTTGAAACTAAATCGTGCTCGTGCTCGTGCTCGTGCGATCGTGCCCTACTGCCCTAGTCCACTTGGCTCTCTCTCCGCTGGCGCTGAGTCGCTGACCGCTCTCGGCTCTCCCCTGGACCCCTGTGTATCTCCGGCTCTCCCCTGCAGCCTCGCCTCCCTGGTTCGCTTGGCTCTCCGCTGGCGTTGACCGCTCTCGGCTCTCCCCTACAGCCTTGCCTCCCTGGTCTGCTTGGCTCTCCGCTAGCGCTGACTGCTCTCGGCTCTCCCCTGGACCCCTACGAATCTCCGACTCTCCCTTGCGGCCTTGCCTCCCTAGGTTCAAAAATCACCGAATCAGTAAATCCAACACACAGGCCGCAGCAACTCTCCGCCTCTCGGCTTGCAAAGATACCTCCAGGCCTCGCAACCACGCAACTTCCGTCTTCACTCTTCACTTGTCTTCACAAGCCGCAGCACGCAACAAGTTGACACTCTTCATCTTTGCAAGCCGCAACACACAGGCCGCAGCAACTCTCTGCCTCTCAAGCTGTCTTGAGTCACTAGAGCTCAACTCGTCCTCACAGGCAAATCTTCCTTACATTCGATTTTTGCTCTCTTCTTTGATTGTTGTGTGGCTGCTGGATTTGTTCTTCAATTTGTGCTCGTCTTTGATTTGTTCTGCCCATTCTGGTTGATTTTGCTGGATTATTGGGATTAGCCGATTAGTGTTGATATTTGCAAGTTAATTTTAAAGAAAAATGGCTACCGATGGTAGTGGAACTGGAAGAAAGCAAGTTGAGATTACTGCTATTACTGATGAAACAAATATACCAAACCAATCTGGACAAGGAATAACACCTGAATCTTCTGTGCAAGATAATCCAAATAAGAGGGCAAGAAAAAATACGTCTGATGTTTGGAAGTTTTTCACTAAAATTGGTGTGGTAAATGGCAAACAAAAAGCATAATGTAATGGATGTGGAAAACAATGTTTGTGGTGGAAAGGAGTATGGGACTTCAACCCTTAGGCGTCATATGGAATTGTGTGTATCACTCCCAAAATATAAAGACATTGGTGAGATGATGATAGACCATGCAGAGAATGTAAGATCTAGGCAACTTGATCATAACAAAGTTCGAGAACTGATTTCTGCTTGTATCATTAGACATGATTTCCCATATTCATTTGTTGAGTATGAAGCAGTTAGGGAGTTGCACAAATATTTGAATGCTGATTATAAGAACATTACTAGAAAAATTGCAGTGCTGGATGTTTGGAATTTTTATATTAGTCAAAAAGAAAAACTAAAAAAGTGATGATGGATTGTCTTAGTAGAATATGTTTAACTAGTGATTGTTGGACATCAATAACCGGTGAGGGTCATCTTTGCTTAACTACTCATTTTGTTGATGAGAAGTGGCGACTTAATAACAAGATACTTGCATTCTCTAAAATGGAGCCGCCTCATTCTGGGATTGAATTAGCTAAAAGAGTGCATGATTTATTGATTGATTGGGGGATTGAAAAGAAAGTATTTTCAATTACTTTGGATAATGCTTCAGCAAATGATGTCATGCAAAATGTATTGAAGGAGAGGTTGAATTTGAGTAATGACTTGCTATGCAATGGGGAGTTTTTTCATGTGAGATGTTGTGCCCACATCTTGAATCTCATAGTTCAGGAGGGCATGAAAGTAGCAAGTGATGCTATGCATAAGATTAGGGAGAGTATTAGATATGTAAGGCAATCAGAGGCGAGGAAAATTGTTTTCAAGAGATGTATTGAACAAGTTGAAGTTCCTGAAACAGTGAGTTTGAAGTTAGATGTCCCAACTAGATGGAATTCTACGCATGCCATGCTTGAAAGTGCACTTAAATATCGACGTGCCTTTGCTAATTTGGCTTTCAATGATACCAATTATCATCATTGTCCAACAATTGAAGAGTGGGCTAGAGCAAAAGCAACGTGTACATTCTTGAAGCCATTTGCAGTGATTACAAATTTGATGTCTGGTTCAACATATCCCACTTCTAACATGTACTTCATGCAAATATCAAAAATTGAATCAATGTTAAAGCGTCATATGCATAATGATGATTCTGTGATTCGAGACATGGCTGTTAGAATGCTTGACAAGTTTGAAAAATATTGGGATTCATACTCTATCATTCTTTCACTTGCAATTATCCTTGATCCACGGATGAAATTTGATATTGTAAAATTTTCTTACTCAAGACTTGATCCTATAAATTGTCATGAGAAGATTGAATATGTTAGGAGCAAGTTGTACAGTGTTTTCAATGAGTACAAAAATCTGGTATCATCTTCATCCACATCCCAGATTGCTCAAGCTGAATCAAGTTGCAGTGTGAATGTGAGGTCCATTCATCCTGCAAACATAGTGCCGCCTAATTTCTCTGTGAGGGATCAATCTAACTACTTGGATGTTTTTGACGTAAGTTTGAATTTGTTTAATAGTAAAATGTTTTCCTTTGATGTTACTAAATACTAATTTTGATTGAAATTTTGCTAATGTTTTATTCTTATGATGTAGGATTATCTTGAATGCAAGAGCAAAGATAGTACGACAATAGAAAAGTCTGAACTAGACTATTATTTGGAAGAGGCAACACTTGATCCTACCTTGTTTGTAAACCTACAGGTTCTGGATTATTGGAAGAGTAACTCACCTCGATTTCCTTGTCTTGCAAGAATGGCATGTGATATTCTAAGCATTCCCATAACTACGGTTGCCAGTGAATCAGCTTTTAGTATTGGTTCACGAGTTCTCACAAAGTATCGAAGTAGCCTTCTTCCAATAATGTGCAAGCCCTCATTTGTACTCGTAATTGGCATCTTGGTTTTCCATTTAGTGGTAATATAATCATATCTGCTTATTTGTTTTATATATATATATATATATATATATATAAACATTTCAATTAAGTGCAATTGAGCAATGCAAATCTAATACTATTCTTTTATTATGTGTGGCAGAAGATGATCCTGAAGAAGAAATAGTTTCTATCAATCCTGAAGAAGCTTCATTTAATGCTTCGAGTGTCCCACCTAATTAGATTATATTTAGATGTGTTTTGTTTGTAATATTTAATTTTTGGACACTTGGTTGATGTTGAATTGTTGCTGGTTGGTGTTTTTTAATTGTTTTGAATGTTTATTTTTTTTTGAATGTTGTAATTTTAATAAAGAGTGTATATTTCTAGATTTTTCAGACCAAAATGTGCAAACTTGGTTGTATGGAACTATGGATTTTGAATGTACAAGTTGAACTTGTCATGGATGCAAGCTTGGCCGTGTAGAATGGATGTTTTTATGGATTTTCAAAAAAAAAATTTTATAAAATAATAAGCGGGCTGGCGGGCCCCCGCCTGCATTATGCTGGCCCGCCAAGGTGCGGGCTGACCCGTATCCGCACCGCCAGCCCGCATTACCAACTCTAATGGCCAATTGAATTACTCTTGCCTATTCTCTGTAGTTTCTCCATCAAGTTTTTCAATGGCAAGGAGAAAAGAGGATTCATTCGAACCTAAGGCCACCAACCCATCAATGGTAAGCCTCAATTGAAGTTCGATTTGAATCCTCAATATTTGTAGAGCTTTTTGATGAGGTGCCCATAAGAAATCAAAGCTAGTACAAACCTGGCCCACCATGAAGTAATTCTGGTATGTATTACTTTAATATTGTTCTGTAATGAGATGATACAGTTGAATAGAATATATACAACTAGAGAACAAAGAATCTGGTGCCTAATTAATTACATAATATTCTCTCTTAAATTATCATAAACACACAATAATATGCCTAATAAATCAAGAACATTTAATCCATCGAAGTTAGAGATCTTGACAATAAGAGACACGTATGACTATGAACATGGCAAAAAGGCAAACTTTGAAGTACCCGGTATAACATGTAAAGAGTTTATCATTACCATGAGATTTCTCACTTGGTGAGGGCATCCAGCAGGAATAAACACAGCCTCCCCAAGTTTCTGCTCAAATGTCCATGGTTCAATACCTTGAAAATTTTGAAAGGTTTCTGTCAGCAACAAGCAGCAAGCATTAAGCAACAAAGGTATATATCAGTTTATGGTGCTAACCGAACTCCTCCTTCAGTTTCTTCTTGTGCTCCATTGTTAAATAAAAACATTGATCGTGAATGGGATGGAAAACCTTCAACAGAAAAAAATGGAGACTCAAGCAGCATAAAAGCTAAGGATAATCAATAGCATGGATCAAGTGGAAGGAATTGTACCTGTTCAACAGGAGAACAAAACGTATGTCTGAATTCCCTTGAGTGTTTTCTTAAATATGTTTCTAACTTCTCAGTATCTTCTCTTCTGAAAATGTCCCAGAGAGCAGCACCTGCTTCTCTTGTTTCATTTTCTGCAGTGACATCAAGAAATGTGCTATTTGGAGAGACATTCCATCGATTTCAGCACAGCACTTCTCTTTTTGATCTTGAACCTTATGTGCTCTTTTCAACTTTGAAATAGACAAGATT